CTCCTTCAGTCCCTGCATAGAGAGTGCATGTTTGAGAGACTTGTGACTTAGCCAGTGAAGTCAGAAAGGCTTATAGGAAGGATTGTGGAGATTTTACTTCTCAGACCCATCTGTGACAAGGTCATTTGCTAGATTTTTATCAATCTATTATGTGTCCAAATAGAAATATGTACAAATTTATATTTATATAACTTACTTTTTATAAAAACATAAATGATAAGGATTAAGGGTAACTCTTGAGGTAAACTATCACACAACAGAGGGAAACCCCGCCCACTGTTCTCTCTTAAAAGCTTCTCTTGCCTCTGGGCCATCTTTTCACCTGGAAATTTTTGTTGCCTCCTGTGGAAGACAGCACTGTGATCAGTTAATAAACTTGACAATTGTTTACAATCGCATGTCAACTAGGAGAGTTAATTGCTACTTAAGTGCAATTATCTTTGGCAATTACTTAGCTCAACCATTATGTTATTGTCTAGACACCTAGAGGTAAAACAATTAATTTGAGGATGAAGGAATAATCAAAGAGCATCGATGCCAAGTAAAACTTCATAATATTAAATAATACAGAATGTTTTCCTCTTTAATCGAGAGGTTTATTACTTCTGAATATGACATGGCAGGGCAAAGATGGCTGGGCTGATGAAGCACACATCCTGTTTAAGAAATGGCACAGAACGTGCTGCACGGTCCTGGTGTTAGTGAGAAACCTCATTGTTGTGATCGAAATGCCTGCCAGACACAACATAAGGGAGAAAGGCTCCTAAATACAGAGATTTCAACCTGCAGTCGAAATCCCACTGATTGTGGGACTGTGGGAAGACAGAGAGTAGCAGCGGAACCATGTCAAGAAAGCTGTTCCTCTTATGTCAGACAGAAAGTAAAGAAAAAACAGGAAGAGGTAACAGCAGGATATAGCCACCCAGGGCACACAGTGTGAGGTCCCATAATGAGATATTATTATGACTTCATCATAGGAGTAACCCACTCTTTATGTCAGAGTTCTTATGACATTACTGTTGTGGGATAATCTTTTTGCATGCTGTGAAGATGTGTCTCTGCCAAGGTACCTTCTGATTGGTTTAGTAAAGAGCAAGCAAACTGGCCAATAGCTAGGCAGAAGAGGATAGGCGGGACTTCTGGGAAGAGACAGGAACTCAGAAAAGAAGGGAAGTGGGATTTGCCAGCAAGACGTGGAGAAATTGGATATGCAGTATGGAGAAGAGGTAACGGGCCATGTGACAGAATGTAGATTGATATAAACAGGTTAATTTAAGTTATAAGAGCTATTTGGGAACATGCCTAAACTAAGGCCAAGCATTTATACTTAAAAAAAAGTCTCTGTGTCATTATTTGGGAACTAGAAGTCCAAAGAAAGTCCAACTACACATTACTGACCTGACAGTCATGGCAAACACAAAACAGAGGGGTCAAAGTATTTACTAAGACAGAATCGAGATGAACGTTTTAATGAAGAATATCTATGTTACAAGAAAGATAGGATGAATTCTCAGAGAGAGCATCACATCCTTGAAAAGGAGTAGGCACTTTTCGTGACAGTTAAGAGAAGTTTCTTAGTCTTTTCATGTGTGACATTTGTATGGGGTCTTATTTGAATATAAGAAATGGGCGTCTCACTCTCTTGTTAAGTAGTAGGCTTTGTAATTTGTCTCTTAATCCTTATTAAGACTGTTCATTTGGACTGAGGGACCATGGGTTGTTAGGAGGAGATATCACAGGTCACTGGGTGGGTATGCTGGCTCCAAGCACTCAGGGTCTGGTTTTTAAAAGGTGGGAGATGTTTAAACTTGTATTTAGCCTTTTTGTCTGTATATTTATCCTGGCAGATCAGTAAGGTCAAATCAATAACAAGGGATGAAATGTTTTTTGTTCTGCAACTTCATTTAAACAGAATGGGCGTGTGTGGGAGGCTAAGGGTCTCTTTGGAACTCCTGATCTGTCATCTGGTTGCAGAACCATGGACATTAAAGGTTTGCACTGCATTTTGGAGCAGGAAAGGGTGCTTATTGTAGGAGGCAGTAGAATACAGTGACTCTATTTGGAAGTCGAGAGGTCGTCGGTTGTTGTGTGTTATTTTAATTGTGTTCTAACAAATAAAGCTTGCTTGGAGTCAGAGGGCAGAACTGGCCCCTGGCTGATCATAGAGGTTTGAAAAACCACAAACAGAGAAGACAGGTAAGGCAGAGAAGAGAGAGGATCTCGGCTCTTTTGGACAGAGGAGGAGGTAGGAAGCAGCTGGTGGATGCTCCCTGTTCTCCGATCTTTCAGGCTCTCATCCCAATATTTGACTCCCATTTTTTATTGATAAACATTAATTAGATTAACATTTCAGTTGGTGGGGGGGGGGGGGACAGGTGTTGTTGCTGGTCTTAAAAGCCGAAAGGAGAATAGGTTGTTATAGATTGACATGGGTCTTTGTCCTGGTGTAATCTAAGACATTTTCCTAAAGGCTACACAGACATTTTGGGAGAGAGGCTTCAGGGTTAGGACCTCACAGTAAGGTAGAGGGATTTGAAGTTTGACAAGATTTTATAGAAAGTTTTACAGTTTATAAGAGACAAGTCTGATGCCCAGTCATGCTTTTGTCATGAGTGCCAGGCTTCATGCTGAGCATCCTGAAGACCTGGGAAGAGACTTAATGTTAAGCTATTGACCAAACAGTATTCAATTAATACAGATTTTCTGTGTGATTATTCTGGGAGTCAGGGTTGCAGGGAAATGAACAAGTAGCCTCTCACAACAATTTGGCTTCCAACAACACATGTATGAATTTTGAAATTTGTGTTGAAAACTGACTTTTCATTTTTATTTTTGGAATGCAAACATAACGTTAAACGCAAATCAGCAGGCGTAATTGAAATTTATAAATAGATTTAATGATGGAAACTTCTATCATCTCATGATTCCATGATCATCTCAGTGGATACAGATAAGCCCTTTGACCATGTTAAATATCGTTTCATGATACAAGTCCTGAAGATATAGGGACTAGAAGGAAAATACTACAGCTTACTTAAAGGCTCTATGGGACAAATCTATAATCAAGTTAAAATAAATGGAAGGAAACATTTTCTCTAAGAGGAGGACTGAGACAAAGATATTCACTATTTCTGCCCTTTTTCAATATAATGATTGAATTCTTAGCTAGAGCAATAGTCAAGATAGTTTTCTTTAAATAGGAAAGGAAGTAGTCAAACTATCTCTATTTGCATACGGCATAGTCCTACATTTAAAGGACTCTAAAGAGTCTACCACAAAGCTCTTAGATCTGACAAACACTCAAAAAAAAAAATCAATGTCTAAATTCAGCGCTTTACCTATACACTTGTAATTGTAAACTTGTAAAGAAAGAAGAAAAAATTCTATGTATAACAGATCTTTAAAAAAACAAAACAACAGCAACAACACACACACACACATACACACACACACCACACACACTACCAGTAATAAAACTCCCAAAGGAGGTGAAAGTTTTCTCCAAGGAAAACTTTCCAAAGACTAAAGAAAGAAATTGAATACGATATCCAAAGGTGAAAAGACCTCCTATATTCATGGATTGGCAAAATTAATATTGTGAATTTGGATGGAACAGTGAAAGCTTTTTACCAATTTTGCAGTCCTCTTCAAAATTTCACAGAAATAGAAAAAAAAATTTTACAGAAATACACAAGACCTTGAGTATCTCAAACAATCCTTAGCCAAATGAGCAATGCTCTAAGCATACAATGAGCAATCTTGAATTCTGCTACAGGGCCTCAGTAACAAAGAGAACTGGTACTGACCCCTAACCAGAATTGTGAAATAAACAGAGAATGCAGAAATAAACCCACATAGCTACAGCCCCTTGGAGACATGGCCACCTCTTCTAGGAACTGTCCTGGGAAAATCAGATTTCTGTGTGAAGAAGTGTGAGCATATTACTCACACTGGACAAAAAAAAAATTCAAAATATTTCAAAGAATTTAATGTAGGACCTGAAACTTTGGAATTGCTGCAGAAAAACAGGAGAAACACTTCCAAGAAATAGGCACTGGCAAAAGGTTTCAGAAAAGGGCTCAGGAAATAGTTGGGAAATTTTGATAAATAGGAACACATGAAATTTAAAAGATTTTGTACAGCAATGGAGATAGAAGAACACGGGGGATTCTTTGCCAACACTCTCCTGACAGGGGCTGATAATGTCAGATAAAGACCTCTGAAACCCAAACACCCAAAGTCCCAAATCATCCATTTATAGACTAAAGAGCTGGAGACTTCTGGCCTGAAATGCTAGTGGCCAATAAGCATTTGAAAAAAAAAAAATGTCTGGCATTATTAGCCTTCTGGAGAGTGCAAATAAGCACTTTGTGGCCTCATAAGCCAGGGAGACAGTTAGCAGCAAGAGGAAAAAAAGGCATCCTCATAGGAATGTTAAAGAGCAGTCCTTACTCCCTGCTGGTATAGCCAGGATGAAGAGCTCCTGGGTGCTCACAGAGGAGAACCTAAGGCCACCCACCTCTGAGATACTTGCATGTCTACTTGCCACCTTCCACCTGTAACAGCCACCATACTGATCCAGTTTAGATGTCTGTCACTATGTGACGAATCAAGGAACCATGGTATACATACCCCCGAAGGAAGTGATTTGGTGATAAAGATGAGAACTAAGTTTTGCAGGAATATGGCTGGAACTAGGGACCACAGTGAGCAAAATAAACCAGATTCAAAAGCTTAGTATCCGATTTTTCATCATAAGCCAAAATATAGATTTTAAAGATGTGTATTTCGGCTCATAACCGGAGGACATGAAAACGGGAGGAGGACTATTTGAGAGAAAGCAGAGGAGGAGAAGGATGGGAGAGGGACAAAGGAAACCGGACAGCAGCTATGAGCCAATATTTGTGGATGAAGACGTCATAACGAAACTCATTGTTTTGCAAGCAAAACATAATAAATTTATAGCGGGGTGGCGGTGGTTCGATTGGCTAGGGTGCAGGGTCCATGGCTAGGCGCTGGGGTAGGAGGGCTTTGTCCTGCTCAGAGCAAGGCGAGGCCCTCTCGGCATCCACGTGGTGGTGGCAGAGATACGGGGGCAGCCGGGGAGGCAGGATGATTGCAGGGTCACGTGCTGCCAGCGGGCCTGGCAGGATGTGTAAGGCATAGGCTGGCAAGGAGATCGCAGCTCCTCAATCACCGCAGGACTTTGGTGGAAAACACAGTCCACATTTATGGCGATTCCGAATTTGAGAGTCAATTTCTGCCAGGCTCAGCACAGCAATTTCCCTGGCAAGTGACCTTGGGGACTCCATGTGCCGTATTCAATCACCTGCGCCTTGAAGACTCTGGACACCTGGACACCGAGGAGGTCCTTAAAAGTTACTGCAAGTATATCTCCTTTAATAACTCTGGTAAAATCAAGCTTTGGGTAAACAAAGGTCGAAGACAACCACCACTGTTGTCTCTCTAGTGTCTAAATGTAGGCCGGATAGATGAGTTCGGAACCTAAGCTGGATGTTTCTGAAGTCTCAAGGAATCCATCTGCAGACGCTGAGGCCCAGGTTGAATTCGAATGAATTTTAAATACTTCTGCGCCATTTTTGGAGAAGCCTCATACAGAGTAAACAAACCGAATAAAGAAAAAGAACAAAAGTGGTCCTTTCGATGATCTTAATGTTTTCGCTGTCCCATCACCCACGCGGGCACTCTCGTTTGCCATAATGAACCATCCAGCGCCCGTGGAGATCTGCTACGACAACATGCGGTTCCTGATCACTCACAACCCCACCAACGCTATGCTGCCAAAGTTCACAGAGGAACTGAAGAGCTACGGAGTGACAACCTTGGTCAGAGTTTGCGATGCCACCTACGATAAAGCTCTAGTGGAAAACTGTGGCATCCGCGTTCTAGACCTGCCCTACACTGACGGATCCCCACCCCCTGACGACTTAGTGGATGATTGGCTGAACCTGCTAAAAACCAAATTTCGTGAGGAGCCAGGTTCCTGTGTGGCCGTGCACTGTGTGGCAGGGCTAGGAAGGGCTCCCGTGCTGGTAGCCCTCGCTTTGATAGAATGTGGAATGAAGAATGACCAAGCAGTTCAATTTATCCGGCAAAAACGAAGGGGCGCGTTCAACACCAAACAGCTGCTTTTCTTGGGGCAGTACCAACCCAAGACGCGGAACAGGTCGCGGTCACGCTTCAAGGATTCCACGGGGCACTGCTGCGTTCAGTAGGCTACAAGCTAAGGCTTTCTCCACTGTCGCTTTGAGAGGGGAACTCTAGGCACCTGGAAAGCGATTTCGGAGTCTTTCCTGTGTCATCAGAGAGTAGTGGATTCAGTTAACTGGTGCCGAAGCCAACAATGGAGAAATCCCTCTATAAAGTAAATAAATTAAGAAATAAAATTAGAAGGAAAAAAAAAAACCTAACCCGTTCCAGAGCAACAGCAAAGAAAACCCGGACCCGGAGTCTGACTCCTGCATGTTAAAAGCACTCCCACCATCTGCCACGTTATGATGCCACCAAGAGGGCCTCACCAGGGCCTGGCAACTGTCAGCTTTCAGCCTCCACAACTGTCACCTAAATAAATCTCGTGATAAACTACCCAGCCTCCATTGTATTAAAACAGAAAAAAAGGGCTAATATATTTGCCAGCTAACATTTACTAAAATTTTACTTTGTATTTCAGCTCCCTGGGGATATCCTCAGGGCTAAGTACAATACAAATAGCTTATTAAATGACTGGTTGTGTTCGTGTGCTTGTGCGTGTGTGTATGTGTGTGTGAGTGTGTGTGTATGTGTGTGTGTGCGTGTGTGTGTGTGTGTGTGGTGAGCAAATAAGTACTGACTTGCTATTGATATTTTGCAATGAGAGTATTGCTCTGTTGTCCTGAGAGGCATACTTGCATGTATTACCTTAAGAAAGTCACCATTTAGCTTATAAAGATATTAACATATTGAACATCAGCTAAAAACTGTCTATGGAAAATGGAGGTAAGTTTCCTCCCAGTTGTTAGAGGAAACTTGTGATCTAAAGGAACCGGGTAACTCAACATACATCCATCCTCAACAGAAACAAATCACTGAGGGCCACAATGTAACGAAGTCTGCACCGCTGGTAAAATACATTTTGATTTTCTTGATATCTTAGGGAATTATTCAAGAATTACTTTAATACTTTAAGGGAATTAAATTGCTAGGTCCCTACCTAAAACAATTCCTCCATTATACCTTCTCCTAAGGTGGCGTGCTTTCTCATGCAGATAGAAATAAATCTACCTTTGCCTCTCAGAACCATAATTGGCTCTCTCCATTCACAGAAGCTATTAGCCCTCCTCGTTCTGCTGCCTCCCTGCTGGCTGCAGGGCAGAGCCCCCACTGTTTCTGTGCGAGGTAATCAGCAGGAGCTATTACAAGCTCATTTCTCTCCTAATTGGTAACCACATGGCCAAGAACTGGCCCTGCAAGGCTGCTGTGAAAGTCACTTCCGAACCCCAGGGAGCAGCTGACAAACCATGGCCTGGTGGCATGGGTTTGCTCATAAGAATATAGCAACATCAGGGTTCATCCCTTTCCAAATTCCTAACTTGCCTAGGTCTGCCTTGGGTCAAAACTGCCTCTTCTTTGGACCTTCTCAGGCAGGTGGGCCGGCCAGCCGACTCCCTGAGATTGTGATAGGGCCCATAGTCGTCATTAGTATGTAATACCATACCATTGGCAGCAGCTGCTTTGAGGCAGTCTTTATGTCAGCTCCATCTAAACTCAAGCTGAAACATTTACAGTGGTCCCTTTGTTTCCCTTACTGCCACCCCCCCCCCCAGTCACTCGGGAATCTTCTAAGAGCTCCCACTGAATCAGCCATTAAACCAGGACAGATTATATTATGCAAACGAATGGAGAGTCTGTATATCCTTTTCTTATTCCTGATTTTAGTGGAAATGCTTTGAGCTTTTCTTTGATTAGCATTATTTAGTTGTGGACTTTCCGTATGTCACATTTAATATGTTGAGAATTGTCCTTTATATTCCTGGATACTTCAGGATTATTATAATAATAGTGACTTCACAAAAAAGAAAACCTTAAAGCCTGCCTTCCTTTCAATTTTACTGAATAATTTGAGGAAAATTGATTTAGTTCTTGTAGGATTCTGTATTGTACCATAGGGTCACGTGTTTTTTAGTTACTGTTCCTATCTCACTGAATAGTGTGGGTATATTTAAAGTATGTACTCATCTTTATTTCATTTTGGTAGGCCATATATAACTAGAAATCAGCCGTTTCTTTTAGATGTTTAACTGAGTGTAGGTTGTTAATATGTCCTTAGTGACCCTCTGAATTTCCTTGGTATCTGTTGTAATCCTTCAATTTTAATCTCTGATTTTATTAATTTTGGTTCTCTCTTTTGTGGTTAATTAAACTAAAGATTTGTCAGTCTTGTTAGTCTTTTCAAAGAATCAACTCTTCATTTTATTGTTTGTATTGTTTTTCTTTTCCATTTCTATTTCATTGATTTCAGCTCTGATTTTGGTTATTCCATCTCCTCTACTGTTTAGGGATTTTGCTTTAGTTTGGTTGGACTTTTCTTTGGGCTGCCAAGCTCACAAATAATGGCACAGAGACTTATTAATTATGAAAGCTTGGCCTTGCTTGGACTTTTTCCCATCCATCTCTTATAACTCAAATTGACTTGTCTTTATTAATCTACAATCTGCCATTTGCTCCGTCGCCTTTACTATGTACCATATATCCAACTTCTTCAGTGTCTCACTGGCAACTCTCGCTCACCTGGATTCATTCCAAGTTCCTCTCTCTACCCGGAAGTCCCGCCTATTTTCTCCTCCCTAGCTATTGGCCACTTAGCTCTTTATTAAACCAAAGTAACACTTCTTCACAGAGTGTAAACAAATATTCTGTAATATTCAAATGCATTCTTAAGTTGTTAATATGAGATCTTTTGAGTTCTTTTTTGATACAGACACGTAATTCTAAAAATAGGCCTCGTAGGAATGCCTCTGTTGTGTACCATGGGTTTTGGTATGCTGTACTTTCTTAGGAATGTTTCTGTTGTGTACCATGGGTTTTGGTATGCTGTACTTTCATTTTCATTCACTTCTAGCAACTTAAATTTTTTCCTTTTAAATTTCTCTCTGACACAATTTTTCATTCAATGGTTGTCGTTTTGTTTCCATGAGTCTGTCTACTTACTCTTACTCCCATTTCTATTATTGATATCCAGCTTTATTCTTTTGTAGTCAGATAGAATACAGAATATTATTTCAAGTTTTTAAACATTGTTAAGTTTAGATTTATACCCTAATACATGCTTGATTTTGGAGAAAATTCCATCAACTTCTGAGAAAATGTGTATTCTTTAGTGTTTTGGTGAAGTAGTCTATAAGTATCTGTTAGCTCCATTTAATTTATGATGCTTTTTAACTCAAAAGTGTCTTTGTTTTTGTCTGGGGGACCTATCTACTCAACGACGCCGGTGAAACTGGTATCATGAAGTCATTCACTTTCCACTGTACTGGTCTGAAGTGTAGGTTTAGATCTAACAATATTTATTTTAGGAAATTGGGTACTCCTGTGTTTTGTTCATAAATGTTTAGCATTGTAACATCCCTTTGGTGAACTTGTCCTTTATTGAGTGTGAATATCCTTCCCTATCTCTTTTTACTGAGTTTTAAGTTAAAGGTCTATTTTCTCAGATATTGGGTCATACCAGCTTGCTTCTTTATTCTATTTGCTTGGAATACTTTTCAAAAATCCTTTTTGGCCTAAAATAATATCTGATCATAATGGTAAGGTATGTTTCCAATCATGAAGATGAATCTTGTAAAGTAATATCTGTTCATAATAGTGAGATGTGTGTCCCACCACGAAGATGGGTCCTGTTTTCTCATCTAATCTACTAGTCCGTGTCTTCTTATTGAGGAATTGAGATCATTAATATTGGGAGTTATTGCTGAACAATGTTCATTAATTACTGTTACATAGTTGTGGCAGAATTGATAGACTATTTTTGATCAATTGGTCTGAATTGTTTAATTTTTTGTGCCCTCTTGGGTACATTTAATCTCTTCAGACAGGAGTATTCTTTTTAGTACCCTCCATGGAGCTGGCTTAGTGGATATAAATTTCTTAAATCGAATTATCATAAGAAATTTTCCTATCCATTAATGATGACTGACAGTTTGTCTCTTATCTTTGGTCTTTCAAACCCTGTAAGAGACCTTCTGGCTTTCACAGTCTCCATTGAGAAGTCAAGGATTATTCTGATGGGCCTGTCTTTAGATGTGGCTCTCACCTCACTTTCAATAGCCTTTGTTGTTAGTGTTCTGTAAATTTAGTTGCATTTTGTTGGTGGTATTTCTTTCTGTCTTCAAATTTTATTTTAGCACATGAATGTTTTGCCTGTGTACATGTATGTATACAGCAGGCATGGTACCTGAGGAGGTCAGAAGAAGACCACAGATCCTCTGGAACTGGAGTTATAGGTGGTTATAAGACACCATGTAGGTGCTAGAATTGAACTTCAGTCCTTTGCAAGAGTAAGGCATTCTCTTAACCACTGAGCCCCCATTTTTTTTCATGTCTTGACCATTTGCGTTCTTTATTTCTCTTAAACTATGATAGACATCTCTTTTTTCTAAACTGGGATATCTTTTTTTCTCTGATTTTATTGAAAATATTTTCTACATCTTTGACCTGTGTCTCTTCTTTATCTTCTATACCTGTGATCCATAGATTTCTTCTTCCAGAGTCATTGTAGTTTTGGTTCTTCTTGTACATTTTAGATTTAATATGTGATCCAATTCTCTGCCTTGTCTTAGGCACTGATCACTGATATTCTCTCTTCTGCTTGATTCAGTTTATTGGGTGAGACTATCCTCTGTACTTTCATTTGACTTCATGAGTTCGTCCATTTAAATTTTATTTCAGTTTAACTTTTCTTTAGAGATTCTATCTCCTTATTGAATCCTATATTTAATTGTTTTTATTATTTCATTCACATGTTAAAACTGTACAATTGTCATTTAAGCATTTCTTTGATTTCCTTGAACATATCTATAATCATTCTTTAGCTATTTTGATCGCGGTCTTCAGCTGTGTTGTTCTTCTCAAGGAACACTATGATTGGGTGCTAATCTCAGGAGGAGGCATATTGTCCTGGTTATTAATGTTTCAGGTTTTTTGATGGAACTTTGCTATCTGGAATTATGTTGTTGCTGGTTTTTATTGGTATATATCTTAATTAGGGTTATATTATTGAAATGAAACACCAGGACCAAAAACCACTTGGGGAGGAAAGGACTTATTTGGCTTGTACTTCCATATCATAGCACATCATTGAAGGGAGTCAAGACAGGAGGTTAAACAGGGCAGGAACTTAGAAGCAGGAGGCGATGCAGAGGCCATGGAGAGGTGCTGCTTACTGGCTTGCTCTTATGGCTTACTCAGATTGATTTCTTATAGAATCCAGTACCTCCAGCCCAGGGAGGGCACCACCCACAATGGACCGGGCTCTCTCACATCAACCACTAATTAAGAAAATACTCCATAGGCTTGCCTATCTTATGGGGGCTTTTTTCTCAATTGAAGCT